AAAAAATAAGATTATGTTCAAAAAATGAGTACTACACTTTTTTTTTTAATTTTTATGACAGTTTCTGCTTGTGCTGTTCTTGTTTAATGCCAAATTTTATTTTAGTGAGGGGAACTAGGTTCAGTGTCAGAGAGAGAATGGACATTTGAAAAAATCTTGTCTAAAATAGCTTTATAAATCCCTGTGTTTGTTAATTATATTTTTTAAAAAGTCAAAGCTCACTTCATGGCTACTCATTGGCAGTAACACACTTTCCCCTTCCTACTCAGCTTAAACTCTATCTGCTTGGAATGTTTGGTAAAATGTTTTCCTTCTTGTCTTCTCTTCAAGAGAGAAATGTACAAGCTTGTTTTTTGTTTCTTTTCAGCATTCAGCATGGCTTCTCCAGCTCTACTCATGCGTGTGGTCGCCTCTGCATATTGTGTTGCGGAAAAAGCTGCAACAATTGTCAGAAATGTAATGGCTGCAGGAGATCTGGGGATAGTGGAGAAGGTATTACTTTTACTTTGTTTCAATTTGATTGATTAACACTGAGATAGATACAGGTCAAAGTGGCATTTTTGAAGATCAGCAACTGCGGAAGGAAATACAGTCTCCACCTCTCTGATACAAGAAATATTCCTTATTAAAGGATTAAAAGAGCACTAGAGAAGTGTCTATTGACCAGTATTTCTAAAGAATGTTCAGATACTTGACAGAAACATACCATTATTTTGTCCTGATTCTCCTCTCAAAACACAGCTTTGGATAGCATGTCAGAATTCATAATAATGTATCTTTCTCATTATTTTCCATGTCTATGTTCCAATATCTGTAGTACAGCTTTAAGTACCGTGCCCTTGATGAATTTTGGATTAGGATAAATCAAAGCTTAGTTTCTGTTTACAAAGAAGAAACTTAGTTTTTTTTTGTAAATTACAGTTTTCAAAATAAATTCGGAGCTGCAAAGTTATTTGTAAATAGAAAACAGAAATGAAATTGCAATCATCTGCATGACGTTTTCAATTTACTACAAGTTAGTAAGCTGCACTGACGAGCCACGATCTTTCATTTGACTACAGTACTAGAATAGGTGGAATTAACTTTTGAAGTTAATTCTAGTTTTACAGGTATATCACAATATTATGGACTGCATTAAGTACGTATATTATTTTTGGTCTTTACATTGAAGTAATTGCTAGTATTTACATTTTTCTGAGTAAGCACTTTCAGCCAGTTTTGAAGAAAAGCCTGATCCTTTATGACATTTATTGTCAGTTCCGACAGTAGATGCAAAAAGAAAGTTTTCTTTTTTCCCCATTTGGTCAGTTACATTCACCACTATGAAAACATTTGCAAGTTTTTTTTATTCCATTTTTTCCTAAGCAATTAAAATCAGGGAGAGATGTATGGGGGAGAGAATCTTAAAAAAAATGGAAAGTAATGATCTGTGTTTTCAAAAGTACTTAGAAGCATAGCAGGATTCTCAAACACATGTAAGGAGAATATATAATATAACCTGCTTTTAGGTTCTTGGAAGAACTCATGCAGCTTCACGACAAGAAAGCCTTAAAATACTTGCATCCAGAGGTACAAAGGAGGCACTGTCTGTACTTTGTTTGATTAACCAGTTAATTTTAAATGCATAAAGAAGTTAAGAGTCCAGCAAAGTTAAGGTAATTTTAACTAAAACTAAATGCTGGCTTTTATCCGTTTAATTTGGTTTCACTTTAAAAAAATGCATGTGTTAATATTATGTCCCAGTAAATCAGAAATGCATTGCTCAATCATTTTCTAATATAATAAACCAGCAAATGAACACATTTTAAGCTCTGCAACCAATTAAGTAAATAATTGTAAATACAGTATAACAAAAATGATCAATGTAACAGGCGATATTGGTTCTCAATAAGACTGGTTATACGTATTTTTTTAAAAAAAATGAGTACTACAAACACACAAAATCAGATTGAAAACAATGACCGACAGAGAGGTTCCTGTTGGAGGGACTAGCAATCTCAGAATTGCTGCAAGCTTCTTGTCAAAGGTGGCTGGTGAAGAAAGAGGAAGAATGCAAGACAACCTATACGTGCCTCTGATTTACAGTCTGGAGGGAAAAGATGCATAAGAACAGGATGTGCTGCTTCACATCATTCATCCTCTTTCTGCAGTCAGACAATCAAGACCAATTCCAACTGGCCTTACTGAAAGCTTTGGAAAAGCTGGGAAGACAATGTTCCATCTTTTTCCTCAACACATTGACCTCTCATCCATTTATCTAGATGAGGAAAAGTAGTTCAAGGACAGTTGAATTTTTGGCTGGCTCCTCTCCTTCTTCTCCTGATGTCCAGAGTTATCTTTCCCTCAGTTAACTCTAAGCTCTCCATTTATATTGCTTCTCCTTGTAGCACTTTTACTTACCCCCCGCAATTGGTAGGTAGACATTTTGTCCAGCCATTCTTACATTATTGGTAACTGTTTTATATACTGTTTTATTAGGTTGGTGTCCTGGAAACAAATACATTCTCTGCAATAACTTGGTCTTTCTAGCTCTAAACTTGGTGCTGAAATCAACCAAATTTATTAGAGAATGAAAGAGAAATTTCAAAGAAAATACCAAGTTTCATAAAAATAGGCAATTGGATAAGAGACAGACTAGGTTTTGAGCATGCAAAAACTAACCCGTAACATCATTTTAACTGGAATCCTCCATTCCTATGGCTAATTTCTGTAGCTAGATAAAACAATTTTCATACTGTCACCAAATAAAATACAAGCAGATAAAATAAAATTTTTGTTTGATTCAGCTAAGATGCAAATGCTTAGATGAAGTGGCTTTCTTAATTGGTGCGCTAACAGCAGTGCTTCTTACTGGGATTCTATCTCCAGACCTAAAGGGCTCCTCCATTCATAGATTCATGAAGATTTAGGCTAGAAAGTATTAACAAATTACCCATTTCCAGTATATAGCACCTTATTAATGTTTAAGAAGAATTACTGTAACCCGTCTGGCAACGTATGCCTGGCTACACTGCATCTTTCAGGCAGGCTTTCAGGCATTGTTTCATGTCCTCTTGGGACACCAAATTCACTGTTTCCTCTCTGGTACTTCTGCTGGAAAAATATGTATG